TCTCGACCTCGTCACGACGGACGAACCTGGGTGTGGTAGGGCTAGGGGGCGTGATCATGATGTTGACGAAGCCGTCGTCGGCCTCGACAGTCTCCGGAGCCACACGGTTAGCCCTAGTGTTGGGCATGAAGAAGTCCTCGTCGGCCTCAACGTTGCGGTCAAGGAACATGGGGATGCTGGCACTGCTCTCGCTGCGGAGGGAGCGCGCGTCGCGATCGCGCTCGTCCCAGTACCCGTCCCAGAGGAAGACGTACACCTCGTCGCCGTTGTCGACCCAGTCGACGCCCTGGCCGTCCTCGCTCTCAACCTCGTCCTTGTCGGGCGAAACGGGGACGTCGGCGTTGCCGCGCTCGGGAAGGCGAGCGGCGAGACGGGTCTTGAAGCGCGACCAGCCAAGACGCATGCGGTTGGCCCACTTGTGCTCGGGCTTGCAAGCCTTGTTGGGCACCTTGGAGGCGCGGATCTTGGTCCAGCGGCGGGGAGGGGGAGCACTCATCGCGCGGACGGGAACGACGGGGCGGAAAGTGTAACCCGGGCGGCGCTGGGGGTTGATCGGGGGCGAACCGCTGAGACGAACGATACCGAACTCATACCCGGAGGCGGGGCCAGGGGACATGCTGGCGCGGGAGGCGGGAGGGTGGGAAAGACTCATGTCGAGCAGAGCCGAGCACACGGCGTGGGCGTGGGTGCGCGGGGGGCAGCTCTGACGGTGGGCCATGGCCAGTTGCTGGATGGAGAGTGGGAAAGACGAAAGAATCGCGCTGTTATACTTTTCGCGGCGGTCGCTGCTCGCATCGATGTGTTGTTCATCACTGGGTCGTTGACGATGAGAGCTGCTCATCGCTGTTCACCAGGGCATCTGATGACAGAGGCGGAGCAGAGTTGGCTACAATGGGTTGTGTCGCTCCTTAGACCGCGGAAGCGCTACCATGGGCGCTGCGGCGGATCACAATAGCCACACCGCCCTCGCGCCTCATTGTCCCAAGTTCTCTGCACCGCTCTACCTTGATGTAATGGATTACAGAATGTTTTGATGCATACAACAGTGTCTATTCACAGTGGCTAATGACAGTGTCTAGGGGGATCTAAGGGGCGAAGTATGCAGAGGAGCCAGAGCTGATGCTTCCAAAGGAGCTGTCGGCCTCGCACCTCTCCTCCCAGAAGCGCCTCAGCGCCTCAAACGACGACTCGACAGAGGTGTCCATCATTGACACGTCTGAAGACACCGTCTCAGGCGTGCTGGGAGTCGCGGCCCGAGTCGGCCGGGGCGGGGTGGCAGGCGGCGTAGCGAAAGTCTGCGAGTTCAAAATGCTAGGGGCAGACCGGCACCTCTTGCGGATCCAAGGCTGCTTCGAGGGCGAGATCTGCTGCAGGACGTGGGCGAGCTCGGGCGGAATCTCGTCGTCGTAGTCGTTGTCGCTGTACATGGACTCGGGCTCGACGTTGCTCTCGAAGCTCGTGTCCTGGCCCCAGTCCTCGGTGTACCCGCTGTCATCGTTGTCGGCGTCATATCCGTCCTCCTCCTCCTCGTACAGAATTCCGAGCTCGCGCTCCTTGAAGTCGATGACGGGGTAGCTGAATTCCTGCGCGTCGATGTCCTCGTCGATGTCCTCGTCGATGTCCTCGTCGACCTCGGAGAGCGTGTCGAGCTGCGGCGGTCGAGCGACCATGCGCCTGAGGGAGTTGTCGGAGCCGTCGTCCTCGACAGCCTGGATGACCTCCACCATCTCCCACTGAGTCATCAGGAGCCCGGTAGGAGTGATGGGGCTGCCGCACTCGCTTGAAAGGGTGAGGATCTCGAAGTCCAAGTCCGTCTCGCTGTCCTGCATCAAGCCTTCAGTGGCAATGTCCTGGTTCGAGGCGCTCCGGGCGTCCAGCAACCAGTCACGAACCTTGGCGATGCACTGCTTGTTCCATTCACCAACATGGGTCCGGATGCAGTTCAACCCGCGAGGCTTCTCCTCAGGAGTGTAAAGGCCGTCCTTCTTCTCGATCGATGTCACCGATGCCTTGTCGACTTCGTCCGCGCACAAGAGGGCAACGCGAAGGCACCACTTCCTAATCCGGCGCCAGCGGCTGGGACCGGCGTTGGCCTCCTCCTGACTCGCGGTCGAGCACATCGTCATCGAAGAGCGGTCGTCGATGTCCTTGATGTCGATGGGCATGTCCGTGGCGAAGTGGGTGATAGCGAACAACGATACATGTCAGAAGATTCGGTATACCCAGGCAATACCTGTCAGAAGTGTCCAGTGTGCATCACAAGGGTAAGAGGGTGCGGTCAGTTGTGTGCGGATGGGTGTATGGACTGCAAGCGCTGTCACAATAGTGAACAGAGGTGCACTCAGTGCACAGCGCACTGCTCCACCGGCGTCCATTGTCAGCTGAGAGTCGCCGAGTTGGAGGCCTCGCCGAGTTGTGAACAATCGCCAACCGCCACCCACGCCACTGGTAAGGTCAGCTCTTGTTGAGGTATAGCCGTTGTCGGCGGTGAGGCGAGAGGAAGGAAGAAGGAGAGATAGCCGACCGCTTGCGAGTTTTGGACTGACTGACCTTGTGCCTGGGCACAGAGTTTCGTTAGATGGTCGACTCGTGTGACTTTCCTCTACCGCAAAGAACCTCCTTCCCCAGCACCGACACCGGCATCGATAATCGACTCCGGTCGATGCAGCCAACAGACCGGCGTGGGATGCTTACCGACGCCGAGACCAGTAGCCGACACGCGGTGAGTCCAAGCAGGGGTCGCCGCGCGACTCACCCGTCCCTTCGATCGACCAAGTCAGGTCGCCCACACAACTCAGCCTTGTTTGCGGGGGCCCGCCGGCCCAGCTCTTCCGTCCCCCTGCTTTCCTTCAGATTCGTGCGACCTCGTGCTGACGACCCGTCCATCTTGTCAACGCTTGCTCTTATCTCTTGCCCACTGTCTACTTGCATAAGCATAACCCACGCTCTTGTCGACCTCTATCTTACTCTCGGCAATCCCGGTCTCGACGTCTCTCCCAGCACACACGAGGACAGCGAGCTAAAAAGTCGGGCCAACCGACATTTCGGAAAACAACCATCTCGCGATGCCGCGCGACACCGACCTCGACGCCGAGGCGGCGCGCCTCTCGAAGCTGGACAAGGAAGTGCATCCCGAAGCGGTACTCGATGCTATGGGCGAGAGCGTTGCGCCAGAGAAGCCGGCCCACTCGCCTTTTGTCGGGTTCGCGGCAGGACTGCTGTCTGGCTGGACGAAACTCATCGTGGGACATCCCTTTGACACGATCAAGACGAGACGTAAGTCCATGAATTGCCAGTAGTGGTTGTGGGAGAGGATGGGAGGGAGTAGGAAGTCATGGAGGTTCGGCTACGGCGAGTTCGGCGGCCGCGCTCGCCGGAACCGTGCGGCGAGCGGCGTGCGGCGCGCTTAGCGGAGCTGTGTTGCGGAGTGCGGAGCTGGTAACATCGTGATCAAGCTGACACCAGTGCAATGTGCTCCGAAGGGGTACTACAAGGGAGCAGGCGACTGTTTCCTGTCGACTGTGCGGCGCGAAGGTCCACTGGCGCTGTACAAGGGTGCCTCTGTCCCCGCCGTGTCGTGGGGAATCACAGATTCGATCCTGATGGGCTCATTACACAACTACCGCGCGTGTCTGAAAGACTGGGGGATTTTGACCGAGTGGGCACCCTCCCCCGACGGCGGGCCATCGAGCGAAAAGCGCCTCAGCATTGCGGGACACGCGCTCGCCGGCCTCATGGCGGGCTGGACGAATGCGTCCGTCGCCCACCCCACCGAGACGATCAAGTGCAAGCTCCAGCTCCAGCTCGTGCAGCCCGAGCATGTGCCGAAGCAGTATAAGGGCCCCGTCGACGTGGTCCGGCAGACGATAGCGGCACAGGGTATCACGGGCATGTGGCGCGGCCTTCCGGCCAGTTTCATGTATCGGTCGTGCTTTGCGGCCATGTTTGGAGGTGAGTCGCGAAGCGCGAAGCGAGCGCAGCGAGCGGAGCGGCGGAGCGACGGAGCGACGGGTGAAAGCGAACGCGGGTTTCGGTTTCCCCCGTCTCTGCTGTCTTCGTTCTGAACTTTCGCAGGATCAGCTGAGTGTAAGGAGCTTCGAGCTAACTTTCGCAGGCTTCGAGGTCTTCAACCGCCTCTTCGCGAGCTGGAAGGGCACCTCGTGGGAATTATCGCCAGGACTCGCCAACTTCCTGGCAGGCGGCCTCGCAAGCAACATGTACTGGTTCGCCGCGCTGCCAATGGACAACATCAAGAACCGCATCATGGCCGACTCGCCGACAAAGCCGAAATATCCCTCCGTCCTTGGAGCGTACAGGACGGTGTGGCGCGAGACGTACGATCCGAGTCGCGGGCTTGGGTGGAATTCTCTGGCGAGGTTGAAGAATTTCTACAAGGTGAGTTCACTCGGGTGGGTGTGGGGTGTGGGGTGTGGGGTGTGGGGTGTTTCTGGGCCGTGGTGAGGGTAGGACAGCTTGAGGGAGAGCAAGTTGGTTCGCAGAGCGGAGAGCGGAGCAGAGGAACCAGCTGTGAGACGAACACCGTAGCTGACTTCACAGGGATTCGTGCCCGTCGTATTGCGCGCTTTCCCCACGAATGCGGCCGCGCTCGCCGTGTGGGAGGGAACAATGCGCTGGGCCACAAAGTAAGAGTTCACACTTTGGGCACTTGGGCCATCTTGGGCAATCACCGCTCCGCCCGAGAGCGTTAGAGCGCAAGTGTAGATGACGTAGAGAAACGTAGAGCAGAGCACATTGTTGTATCATTTACATACAGATGGGACGCATCAACAGATCGGGTTTACAGACATTTACTGACTGATTCGCTCACACCTCACACTCTGACTGACTCACACACACTTACTTCTCTCACACACACACCAAAGATGTCTAGAAAAAGCGAGAAGCGTGCTCACTCTCTGCCGCCTTCGGCGCCGGCTACGCTCACGCCCGAATCAAGTTTCGTCCCAGCATAACCCGCACGACGACCGCGCCAAAACTAACCCCCACGCCCATCCCAGCCATGAAGAAGAGCACGGGCACGTCGCGCATGGGCGGAATCGCCTCGTCGGGGGACAGGAACGCGTGCCACCATCCCTTCGGCAGGGGGCGCGAGATGCCCTTCGTGGACGCCATGGAGGACGTGGACGACGAGCGGCTGCGCGCCATGTCCTCGCCCCCTTCCACTTCGAGGGGTGGGGTGATTTTGGACACGAGCGGCTCGGGCTCGTCCTCCATCGTCACGAGCCTCGCGAGGGGAGAGGTCTGCACGGCCACAGAGGCGGCCACAGAGGCGGCCACAGAGGCCTCGAGACCGAGTCGATTCGGAACGCAAGACTGGAGCTCGGTGCGCGCAAATTCGGCTTCCCAGTGCTCCCCCCGCTCCTCCCGCTCGCTCTCGTGCAGCACGACGGCTGTCTCGACCGCTTCCGCTTCCACGGTTTCGACCTGCGCGTCGGCGAACGACACTTCGGCGAGTGACACTTCTGCCTGGACGCTGGCGTCCGCGGCTTCTGTCTCCGCCTGAACGGCAGCCTCGACTCCAGACTCAGCAGGCGCAGGAAGGAACGTCTCCTTCTCGAAGCTGAACTCGTCCTCCGTCATCGTCTCGACGCTCGCGACGTTGGCGACAGGACGCTTGATGGGCGTGTCGGTCGGCGTGTCGACGGGCGTGACGCTCGCGAGGCGCTGTTCGAGCTCGCGCACGCGGTCCTGCAGCGTGGCGACCTCGCGCTCGAGACGCTGCGGCGAGCCGGGGAGGACGAGGGTGACTGGCGCAGCGACCTCGGGCTCCGGCGTCACCTCGGTGAATTCGGCACGGGCGACTTCGACGACCTCCTCCTCGGCAGGTTCCGGTTCCGGAGTGACGTCGAGGTCGGCAACGACGGGGACATCCACGGCTCGGAGGGGCGACGGGGCCGTTGACGCAGTCTCAGCGCGCAGCGGCGAGCCTGGGGTGCGAATTGGAGACGGCACGTCGAGCGGCGAGCCTGGCGTGCGCACCGCCGAAGACATGGCCGGAGACATGCCCAGGCTGGGACGCTTGCGACTCGCCCTCCGTCTTGGGGTCACAGTGACTTTGCGGGTCTCGTCGTCGCCAAATGTAGACGGCAGGCGTTTCGTGCTGCTAACACGCTTCGCCTTGCGGAGAGGGAGAGGCGACTTGGGCGACTCGGACAACGGGGAGCCTACGGCCCGCTCAGGAGAGAAGAGATCACTCGGCGAGAGAACCGCGGAGAGGTTTGAGATGTGCGTGACGTCTCCGAGGGGCGATGATGGCGAGAGGGGCGGAACGTCGTCAGCCGCTGGATGGAAGAGGAGCTTTGGGCTGATGAGAGGAGATTCGGGGGACGGCGACCGGACGCCGCCAGAGAGCACCTCGAGCTCGTCATCAGCCTGTCCGGCGCTCTCGAGCGAGACGCGAGGACCGAGCAGCTGCTCGATAGGCACCGGGGCATGCTTTGTCGGACTCAGCTCCCAGCGCGAGTCCGACATGTTGCTCCCGATGCTGTCGGTGCGCGGGCGCGGCTGCCACGCCAGCTTCTCTGTCGTTCGGGGTGTCGCACGTCCATACCCCTCGATGCTGTTGCCGGTGAGCTGCTGACGGAGTGCGTGCAGGTCGTCCTCGGCCTCACTCGCCGACTCGAAAGCATGAGCCAGACGTCGCACTCGCGTCTGCTCCTCGGGCATGTCCTCCGGCAGCGGGAGCGCAGCATGGCGCTGAGCGCGGCTCGTACGGCGCAACTTGCGAGACACCAGCGACAGGACAGGAAGGAATGGCGGTCGGCTACCGCCAATACCCTCGAGCCCGTTCCGTCAATTCGGTGACGAAGAATCCATGTCACGACATCCTCGACAGCGGGCACCGGCAGCGTCTGGCCGTCGGCACCCGAGCGGAGGGAGTAGCGTAGGTGCTGAGCGAGCTGGGATGGGTTCCACGCGGCGGGGTTCGAGGGCAGCTCGGGCTTCTTGGGCGACTCAACGAGGGACTGCAGCCCGCTGAGACTCTGGGACACCTTATGTCCCGGAGTTCGAGGCGAAGGGGGCGGCAGCGCGCTGATGGAAGCAGAGTGTCGGTGAGCAGGGGTCGTCGGACGAGGCGAGGAGGGCACACTAGGAGGGGCAAAGCGCGGCGAGGGCGGCACACTCGGCGACTGGGGTCGGACCCACGGAGCCTGCGACATGTTCGGCGACTGGGGAGGGAGCCTTGATGGTGTCGGATGCGCTGTAGTGGGAGACTGCGGGGGGAAGCGCGAAGTGTACGATGTCGTAGGCGACGAGGGCTGGTACCGAGAGCTGAGCGTGGGAGAGGGCGGAACAGGGGGTGGCCGTGATGAGTGCAGATGAGGAACGCCAGCCGTCGTGTCGAGCTCCTGTTTATCACTATTCCGACGGTGGGTGACGGGTAACGCGAAAGGGTCGGAGGCGCGCTGGAGCGCCTTCTGGATTGGATCGGCCCTCGATGTCTGCGCCTGCGCCTGCGCCTCCGGCTGCTGCTCAAACAGGGAACGGCGCTCTGAGACGCTGCTCGGGCGGGTCGGGGCTGGGACGGCGGGAGGGGGCATCGCAAAGTCGGCCGACATGCGCTTGTAGTTTGCCGGTCGCGGTCCGGTGGAGGTTGTTGACTTCTGCACTGATGAAGTCGTTGCAGATGATGAGAACGCTGGCTTAGATGGCGGTTGAGGCTGAGCAGACTGGGCCATGCGCATGTAGGGGTGGTTCGCCAGTTTGCCAGCACTCGCGGTATGAGTAGCTGGCAGCGGAGGCGGGGGCATCAACACGGCGCTGTCCGAGATCGCACGCTGGCTGGGGCCAGGCTGGCGCAGGTGCTCGGCGAGCCCCGTGTCGGAGCTCGAAGCGGGAAGGGACCAGGCGGACGCAGGCATGACCCTTCGGAGTGAGAAGGCACGACTGGAGTTTGCTTCGGTGTCGGAGCTGAATGGGGTAGTTGAAAGAGGGTGATGCTGTTGTTGCTGCTGGTGTTTGTGTTGTTGACAGGAATCGAGGGTGCGAGTGTCGATGTAGAGGGGCGAGTCGTAGTGTTTATGGTTGACGAACGCTGTTCAGGTCCAGCGCAATGTTTGTCGAGGGAATAAGCTCTGGCGAAAGATATGTGAAGATTGAGAGCAGGTGACAGCGATGGATGACAGCGTCAACGCTGTGTGGATGTTTTGCCTGACGACGGGCAACGGAGGGCTCTCAGGCACCAAACCACTGCAGTACCAAAGGGGCGGAAGAAAACAGTCGCGTCGTTGTGCGGTGGCCCGTGCCTGGTTTTGATTTTCGGTCATGTCCTCCGAGGGCACACCGCCCACACCAAGGCAGACAGACATTCCTGACTGCTCATGTTTGGGTCGCCTTTGCGTCTTCTACTCGTGTGCCGTTCCCACTCTTGCGGTTCCCACATTCTTTGGCTCTCCCAATGCACATCAAGGAAGAAAAGGTACATGACATCCAGGACATCCCTCGACCCAAACATTCTATCGACGTGTCAGCCATTCAACACCCCATGCAAGGGCAAGTCCGTCACAGTCTAAACACGAGCTAAAATCAAACAAGGGGAAAGGAAGGTACTATCTACTGGGCCGGGATGAGAAGGAGACCGAGCTCGACTTCTCGTGTGATCCTAGGGCAGCTCACTCCTTGAGCATCTTGAGCGTGATTTCGTCCGCCAGTTTCCGGATGTCCTTGTTGTTCCATCTCCTGGCAGCCTTGTCAATCGTGTCTCGCGCACCGAGCACTTCGAGCAACGGCTGGATGCCCTCGTCCCAGCCGGGGTTCAGATACATGACGAGCGCAGCAGCAACGAGTAGTCGGTGGCCGGTATCAGAGTCCTCTTCCCGTGCGATCGCCTCGACGAGCGCGCTGAGAAGCTCCGTCTCCCAGTCCTCTCCTCCGATCTCCGGGGCGTCAGGTGTCTGAGGCGTCGCTTCCCGAACACGGTGACGCCATGCCGCAGCGTTGACCGCGACATCTGCCGCAGCCTTTCGCACACCGACATCAGGGTGCAGCAGCGCCTCGACGAGGACCGACAGCAGATCGTCTGGTCGAGCAAGAGCCGCTGTCGCGAGCGGGAGAGGGGCGAGGAGGTTTGTCTCGAGCCGCAGAGTCGTGAGCAGCAACGGCCGCGGGGTGGCTGCAACACCCTGCTTCAGCTCCTTCGCAGTGAGGGCGAGGATGGGCGCGATCGGGTCGCTCGGTCCGCCGACGCGCGGTGTCAAGACCCGCACGACGCCGTCGTTCAGCAGACCTAACCGCCAGAGATCGACGATTGGGAAAACCTCGGCCGGCTTGAGTGACTGCAAGAGTGCACCGGACGCCGCCGTCCACTTGTCCACGACACCGACAGCGTCCCCACCCTTACCCTCAAGGAAGGGTACAACCTCGTTCTTGAGCACGTCGACGTGCTGCTTGCCGGCCGCTCCCGCGAAGCCCTCGAGCTTTCCAAACAGCGCAGTAAAGTTTGGCGTCGCGGTGGCAGTGATGGGATTCGTCTTGATGCGCTCCGTGGCTGGGAGGTAGAGACGCTTGTGAGCATGCTGGGGGAAGCAGTCGTCGAGGAAGGCTTCAATCTTGTTCTCGAGCCCCCGCTTGTCAGCGCCAGCCATCTCGTCCACCTTCTTCCCGTCCTTGAAGAACATGAACGTCGGCGTCGCGCGCACACCGTATCGACTGGCGAGATTCTGGCCGTCTCCCCGATCCAGCTCGATCTCGACGAAGCGCGCTCCTCGAGGGCCGAATTCGGGGTAGTGCGCCTCCGCGATCGACTCGTACGCCGGCTTGATCATTCGGCATGGCGGGCATCCGGCCGTGTTCGTGAAATTCGCAACAAGCGCCTTGCTGGTCTTAAGCAGCTGATCGAACGTCGATGAGGAGGTCACCAGCTGAAGAGCTGGTCCTGCGGGAGCTTGCGGCGCCTTCGGAGCAGAGGAAGAGGATGCGCCACCGTTCTGGAGTCCAGGAATGTTGCCACCGTTGCCAGCCGCTTGCTGCGCGACCGCGTTCAGGAACATGCTAGCGAGATTGTGAGGGTCCTGTTGTCCGTTGGCGGCAGCGGCGCCAGTCGGGGGCGTGCCGGCAGCCGGAGTGCCCGTTGTCGGCGTCGCAACACTGGTCGCATTCGGCATGCCCTGCTGGGCAGGGATGCGGTGCTCGCTCGAGTTCGATCCGCGGAACATGGCGTCAATCCTGCTGTCAGCTTAATCGGTCGTGCGTGAGCTCACTGGGGACGGAGCGCCTGGCCGAGAGGCGTCTGGAGAAACTGCGCCGGAAGGCCAGAGATCCAGTCGGGGATAGTGGCGCCTGTCAGGAATCCGACGACGTCAGATGTGAATGTGTTGCAGTTGTGGTCCATTAGATGGTACGCTTGCGGGGTATACACTTCGGCAACGGACGCGAGATATTCCTCGAACGTGTCCTGGTCGATGTACGTCTCGCCGACGTCGATGATCTGCACCGGCGTGCCGTGGTGTGTTGTTCCCGGAGCTGCCTCCATGATGCCCTGTCCGTAGAACACCTCGCGACCGTAGGCCACAACGGACGTGTGCCTGCAAGTCAGCTCACAGTCAGAAACGCCGCAGCTTACCAGATACCGTCGATCTGCGTCCCCGTGATAGCTTGGGACATGGTGCGGGCCATGCCGCGGGACAAGTCGTAGACATACAGTTTGACCGGTTGGGCGGCCATCGTGCTTGCGTAGAGTGGTGTAGAGATGTGAGGAAGATGCAAGGAAGACACGCCCAGCACTAATATGACCTCGCTCTCGATCGGGTTGCTAGACGCTGACGACGTTGCGTCACCCAGTGCCCGCCTTATTTGGTTCCGCTTGGCGCGATAACCGGACAAGTGCGGTCACGTGCAGCTGATAACGCGCGGCCCCTTCAGCCTGGCGGGAAGAGAGCCCTTCGGCGAACGCCATGTCCGTCGGCGTTCTTTGACCACGGTCGTTTCTCTCGATAGCTTATATGACTTTTGACACAACCGCATTGAGTCCAGGTTGCGCTGAAAGAAGACAGCCCCGTGGGAGACTTGGCCTGCATGAGTGGATGATCAGCCGTTGATCGACGTCTGCCTCGACTCCATCATCCATGGTTACCGCGGCTCTGACCTCCACTGACCTCGGTCATATACTCCACAAAGACGAACCTGAACTGCTCGTTACGACCACTCGCAAACAACGACGCTGTCTCAAATGTCAGCCACAGATTGACAACCAACACCGCCCACACTCCTGGAGCGAATGAAGGCATCGACGCGGGTCGTGCGCCTCCCGAGACAGATGGCGAGAGTGTAAACGTGCGCACTTGGCAATCCAAGAGTGCAAGCCGCAAGTTCACTCCTCCTCTCGCCAGAGAGTTCGCCAGGACACGCGACATCGAGGCCCATGGCGTCGACCGCTGTACCGCTCGTCGTTACGGGGCAGTCGACGAGTGGGTCTGACATGCTGACAAGCATCGAGTATCATAATCACCCCCTTCGGAAGAAATCTGCCTCGGCTCAACCTCCATTTCTGCCTCTTCTCACTCTCCGCGTCGCACTTGCACTCACCTTCACTACTAAAGACTGAACATCATCTCACTCCTGCCATGTCGGACGACACTCTGAGCCCACGAGCACACACACTTCCACTTGCCATGACGAGCAGCGCCCGCACTACCAGACGACATATCGATCTTTCCACCGTCACACCTTCCCAACTCGATCTCAGCCCATCCCATCTGGACAAACTACGCGCCGACCTCTCCCAGGCCTCAACGCACCTCAAGCACCTCACCGAAACCATCATCGCGCCAGAAGATCTAAGCGCCCTAAACGAAAGACTGGACGGCATAGAGGCCGACATGGAGACACTCCGGCTCGTTCGGGAAATGACCGATGCGCTGAGGGTGACGGTATGCGAACGCGAGTTGGGACGGGCGAGGCGGCGGGTGGTATGCCCCCTTCCTGTCGCTGAGTCGTATGCTTCTGGAGTAGCTGGGGCCCAGTCTGGGCAGACTGAGGGAATGCTTTGTCGGCCCAAGAACTATCGGAGGGCCAAACTGTGCGGCTCGGCGGGCTCGGCGGGTGAGGTGGGCTAGTCTCCTCTCGCTGACGCGCTGCCGCGCTGCCTCGGCTCACCTTCAGCCGCATCGCCCTGCCCACCTCGCCCATCGCTCTCCGATACGTCGCCAGCTATGCGCAACAATAACAATCTCCCAAGACCCACCAGAGCCATAGATACATACAACGCACTCCTAAACTATGCTAGACCTTGACAGGACTCAGATCGACGTCGCGGGCACGCACGACGCCGCAGTCCCAGAGCCCCATGACGAGCATCTGCCCGTCGCCGAGGGGCAGCGCCGTGCTCGCCGTACCGATGAAAGCGCCCACATCGTCGAGCACGACCTGGACGCGTTTGTCGACTTTGGTGAACAGGCGATTCACCTCGGCCCTTGCCTGCTCGGCCGTATCGCGCTCGCGCGCCTTCTCCACTGTAAACTTGACGACGCGGCTGCCGGCCAGCTGGCCCTCGCCCTTGGCTGCTGCCGTCTTGAAATACTGGAGCGCGTTGGGGTGGCCCGCCGCCAGGAAGGTGTAGTTGGCGCCCGAGGAGAGGAAGTGTACATTGTCCATTGTGTACCCCACAGGCAGGGTCTCACGGTACGTGAATGCGCCTGGGTTTGTGCTGTCGAGAGCGGGCGGGTCCACGTCGTAGATCTGCACTTCGCGCCCGACACTGCCGACTACCGCCATGAGCTTGCCGTCGTCGCTGAGCGCGAGGCCGTTCGCCATGGCCAAACCTTCGCTGACGGCCTTGGACTCTATGCCGTTCTCGGTCTCGGTGAGGAGATACACGCGTCCAAGGGGGAGGCCGAGGAACGTCTCGGCCTTGGCGAGGTGGGGGTGCTGGCGCGGCGAGAAGCCGTAGCTGTTTGTCACGAGGACCTGGTGTTCGTTCAGCAGAACGACGCTGTTCGGCACCTTGATGTCCTTGTGGACGAGGGTCTTGAGCCAGCGTGCTCCGTGGCCCTCAAGCTTCAGAATCTCTATGCCCGGCGGAGAGGCCAGATTCGCGATAGCCAGCAGGTCGCCCTTCAGGTTGAGGCCGAGCTGGTGGAACCCCCTTCCCTCGGGCCAGTCGGAGACGGAGAGCGTGCGGTGCGTATTCGAACCAACGTCGTACCACACCAGCGTGCCGCCTGGCGCCGCGGTAGCGTCGCCCTCGCCGCTGAAAGGGTTATAAATAGCCCGGCCGGTGTCGGTCGAGAAGATGACGGCGTCGTGGCCGGGGACGTAGACAGCGTCCTCGGCGAAGGAGATGGGGAGCTTCTCGGCGAGGATGGGCTGGACTTCAATGGGGTTCACCACGCCGTGAGGCGTCAGCATCTTCAGATGCGGAGACGTGTGCGCGGTAAAGTGTCGATAGTAACCCAGCAGAATGCTGAGCGGGTAGAGAAGGAGGAGCGGGGGCTGGCGTCAGCTAGAGAAGGCAGAGAGGGTGAAGCTGTAGAGAAGTGAGGCGACTCACAACCGCAAGGAAGGTCAGAGGAACCCGCATGCTGGGACGAGTGGTGGATGGGGCAATGGTGGGAAGAGAGTTGCGCGATGGTTGTTATGTACGCACGCGCGGTTCACGGTCGGTAGTGTGGTAGTGGACAGGCACATGACGTTGGCTGTCGGCTCACTCGGCTATCAAGATTGGCCGATCAACCGCTCAGTCAGCAAGATCTAGGATCTGTCGGGTAGGTACACGAATGCACCGCTTGCTGTGCGTGAGCAACAAACAGCAGTGCGATGAGTCTAGGTTGGCGGTAATGCAGGAGGTACACAGATGCATTACAGATGAGGCGCAGCCTTCTCCCTATCCTACAAACGGACGAAATGGTTACTGTGAGACCCAGAAGAAAGAAGCGTTCGTGAAAGCCGGAAGCTGAAGGGATGAAGTCGTGTATGTTCTTGGAGATATGATGAGCTCGAGCTCGAGCAGTGTCCTCCAGTCAGTCGATGAAAGCGGTTGACACGGAATGCTTCTCGGTCGCGGAGGGGAGATGCACACATGCAGGGATCTCCTCCCAAGTCTACGCCGGCTGGACCCCCCTCCTCTCCCGCCGGACACGCCTAAACTCGTCGAACAACCGCCGAATCTCCTCCTCATCGCTACTACTCTCGACCTCGAGCTCGGCCATGAGTTTACTGATATGCTCGAGTTTGGTTTCCTCTTCGTCCAAAACTCTTGGTGCCCCTGCTCGCGTCTTTCTCGCAGGACGGGCGGAAACGGTAGCAGTTGGTGGTTCCGGCGGAGAACTGGAGTCCGCAAAGGGGTCGGAATTGTGGAGAAACATGGACGAGGGCCGAGCCTTTCTCTCCGACTTTGGGATGGGGTCAGGTCGGAGGGCGCGGGTAGGTTTGGGTCTAGAGGGTCTCGAGCCAGGAATGGCAACGAGATCCTCTGATCGGAGCGAGATGGGTTTGCGTTTCTCCATAATGGGCACAGTCTGGATTGAGCTGGGCTTGAGGGACGTTGGTCGCTGCGACGATGTCCGGAGGGACTTGGGCTTGGCTTCCTTCGGCTTAACATTCTGTGAACCCGTCCTGAGCGAGAGTGGTTTCTGCTCCAGTGGCTTGAGCGAAGTGCGCTCAGGTGACTTTGGCTGGCTGTCGAGGGGCGGATTTGGCTGCATAACGAACGAAGCGGGCCTCAGAGCGAGCGAGTTCCGTGTCGGCTTGAGGTATACCACTTCCTTGACTTGCGTATCTGAGTGTCGCCAGGGTCCCAATTGCGGCGGTGCCAGTCGGTCCCCCATCGGCTGGGACTGTGGTTGTGACAATGGCTGTGACTGGGTACGAATGAAAGACGGTCTTGAGGTCGTCTGCGTCCCGGCGATTGTGAGTTCTGGCGTTGGAAGTGGTTGTGTCACTGTCCTTTGGGAGTGTGTAGGTGGGGGAAGCGAGGGCAGTGTCTTGTCGCAGCGCAGATCTCCCTGTTCCACTTTCACTCTACGCCTATTTTCTGTCCATCTGCGTCCACCGCTTCCCTCCGACCTCCTCCTCCCCCCAACCTCCTCCCCATTCCGTGGAGCTGTGCCCAGTCCGTCCCTCTCCGCATCCCAACTCCCCAAATGAGGCCCCTCGAACCACTCCGGCCAATGACCCTCCGGCATAGGTCTTCGGTCACCCGCTCCGAAGGTTGTGAATGTCGCGTCGCTTATTAGACTCGCTTGAGGTAGGCTCACGACTGACTCTGGTGGAGTGTCGCTCCGCTCGATATCGTGTGTCCATGCCTCGACCCGGCGGGCCTTCCGGCTGTCGTAGGATGGATGGAGGGGGCGGTTGAGCCAGGGACAGTCGCCCATTTTGCCTTCCGGTTCTGTCGTTGTGGGTGATGGCGCGCTGTGCGCAGAGGATTGAGGAGGAGAGAGACTAGTGGAAGTGAGTATGTAGCTGATGCTGGTGAAAGATGAAGTGAGAGGAGACACACATCGACTGATGAACAATGTTTGGGGGTGGTCTAGTACTTGTGGACTCGGGCTGCCGCGCGTCCTCATCCTTCGCTCGCACTGCGCACTGCTGCACTGCGCACTGCACGTACTGCACATTGAGCACACTGCACCGCGCTGTACGCCGCTGAACGCTCAGACGCTCAGACATTGGGGCCAGGGTCGTCGGCATGGGGACTGTGTCACCTGCATTCCGTGGGATCACCGTGCACCGGGCTGCCGGGTCCCTGTGCGTGCACTGATGCATGGCTATGTACAGGGGCTATGATGCACAGACGCGCTGCTGCTGCTGTTGCTGCTGAGCTCAGCGACTAGTTCTTCTTCTTGTTCTTCTTGTTCTTCTTCTTGCCGCCGCCGCCGCCGCCGCCGTTGCCGCCAGTCTTCGGCTTGTCGTCCTCCTTAGCGTCCTTGGTCTCAGCATCTTCCTTGGCCTCAGCCTCAGCCTCCTCCTTCGCCTCCTCCTTCTCGGCCTTGACCTCGGCATCGGACGCGGCGACAATCGCGGCAGCCTCCTCGCGGGCCTCCTCCATCTCGATCTTGGCAGACTCGGCGACATCGTCGTCGTTGATCTTCAGGTCCTTGACAGCCTCCTCGACAGGCTTCTCGGCCTCCTTCTTGGCCGCCTCCGACTTAGGCTCCTCCTTCTTCGTCGGCTCGGGGATAATTATGTCGACGGGGTGCTCCGGCTCGTCCTCAGGGTTCTCCACAACCTTGTTCGTCTCGTCCTTGAGCTTCTCCTCGATCTTGGCCGGCTCGGGAATGATGTTCTCGACGGGATGGTCAGGCTCGCTGGGCGTGATCGGAGTGACCTCGTTCAGCTTGACGTTCTTGACGCGGCCGGAGACGACAGGAGCAGACTTGACGGGGCCATCATCGAGCGCATCGACCTCGTCCTTAGCAGGAGGTTTCGGCGCATCCTTGGCAGGCGGCTTCGGGGCGTCCTTGGCAGGGAGCTCGGGGATGTCGTCACGCTCCGAGACACCGTCCTTGATGCCGTCGTAGGCGTTCTTAGCGCTCTGGCCGACGGCGCCACCGACAGCAGCAGCCGCCTCACCGATACCGCGCGCCGCGATCGTCGCCTGAGCCCACGAGTGTTCCGCAAGAGCCTTGAAATGCTGCGGCTTGCCCTCCTCGGGCGTGCCGAGGCTCGGCGATGGCGGGTAGCCACCGTCGTAAGCTCCGCGTGTCGTCGGTAATGTCTCCTGGGAGTTCGAGCGGCCGGTGAGCTTGGACACGAGCGACGAAGCGCCGCCCATGATCGCTCCGGCGATGCTCTCACCCCATCCCTTCTTCGGTCCCACTTGCGGTCCTCCGGTTTCGTTCTCGTCGTCGACGAACAGCTCCGTGTCTTCCCACAGATTGCGCGCGCGGAGCTCAGCCTCGAGAGCGGCGCACTTGCGCTCCGTGTCCTCCCAATCGTCGGGGTCGGTGCTGATGTTAGCGGCTAGGGAACGACTCGCGGCAGCCTCATGGTGAAACGTGAAGGCTCCAATCGTGCAGACCGCAGCAGGTCAGAGGCAAGCAAACCAAGCAAGCGGCAGCAGAGCCGCGAGAGTTTGCAGCAAACGCCGCCAGCCGTGACCCATCAGCTGGAGCACTCGAGCAGAAGAGGGAGCGGACGTCAGAAAGGGTTGAGGAAGACTCACCTGTCCTTCATGTCGATGCGAACTGTCCCAATGCCTTGCCCCTCAGCGGGTGGCGCCGGGGTAAAGATGAAAGAAGCGTGCTGGGCATTGCTCTTCGTCTTGCGAACAGGGCTGTTGGCAGCGAGGAGGAAGCTGGTCTGGCCGACAGAGAGGGCCAACTGGTCGTGCGCGCGGCGGGGCGGGTCGGCGGGCAGGAGGGAGAGGGTGAGGTCGCCCTTGGCCAGGGGGACGGGGGGAACGCCGGGCGCGGGGAGGTGGTACGCCGTACTTCCCGAGAGGGTGAGTAAGGTCGTCATGGTGGTGAATAATGCGCTGTGAGATGGAGGGAAGGAGGGAAGGTGTAGTGGCAAGGAAGGAAAGAGGGAAGACAGGGTGTGATTCCAGCGGAGGAAAGAAGGGGGTCTGGATGAAAGCCGAGTCGGAATCAGGCGGCGTTGATGACGTCGGTGGTGTTGATGTCGAGGCCGTCTCCGTGTTTGTCGTCGATGGATGGAAGATGGTCAGCAACGACGGAGGAAGAGGAAAGTGATGATGAGAGTGAGAGTGATGCGAAAGGACAAGAGCCGGACCGGAGTGCGGAGTGGATGGCCAGCAGTGTGAGTGGACTTTTGGGCGGATCGATTGGCTGTGAACACGCGCGGCTACGCAAACATGGCATCGAGGCGGAGGGCGCTGAGAGGGCGCAGGCTGCGCGCGCCTGCGGCGTGCACATGACAGGAGCGGCGGCACATTGCCAGCTGAAACCGCACACAGGGCAGGGCACAAGGGCACCGCTTAACTCGGAGCTCGGATAAACTCCGCTTTCGGACCTCGCGCCTGACAGCCAGTGACAACCCGCCCCTTGACATGTGCCCAAGCCTATCCCTGCTCCGCCAGTCCTTGCCCTAGACTGCTCATGCTTGGGCACAGGTCAAGACCCAACAGTGGATGTAATCGTGCTAAGATGGTCCCAAAGATGCCATGCTCATCTGATCTAGTGGCTAGTGTGGCCGTGTTTGCATATGGTACTACACACAAAAGCTACTCTATGTCATCTTCTACAGCTAGAGGATAACAGCCTCAGCTTATCCCTCGAGCAGCGCCTTGACGAACGGCTCCATGAACGACGTCGGGCCGCCAAAGACTGCCATCGACAGCGCCTTCACAGTCGCATCGTCGACCTTGTCACCGCTACACAATCGCACCACGCTTGTGACACCGATGAGAACCTGCGTTATCAGTTAAAGAGCACTCAGACCAACTCACATTGGCATTGACGCCCGGGATCTTCTCCACAATGGCGTACACTTCGTCGCGCGTCATGACAATCTTGCACAGCACATGCACCTCCTTCGGGATCAGGGGGCTGGGCAGCTTGTACAGCACGAGCAGGAGGGCGTGGGCGACCGCTCTTGGGCTGCCCTCGATGTCCGCCCCAGAGTCGAGTGCGTCGATCACAGCGAGGGCTTCGTCCAGGGGAACAGTGCCAGTGAAGAGGTCCGGAATTTCGCCGACGCCCATGAGGTGCTCGAGCAGGCGCCAGATCTCTCGCGGCGGCTTGCCCTTTGTCGGCGTGCCGGTCTCGGAGTAGGTGCTTGCCTCGCGCGCGTCACCGGCGGGACCGAGCAGGTCTTTCCGCGTTGCCAGCGGCAGCTTCTGGATCGCACCCGGAAGGCGAGGCAGCAAGTCGAGGGCGACGCCAGTTGTCGTTGGAACGAACTGACCGCATAGCGAGATGAAGGACTCTTTCCCTTCTTCGACTTGCAGTACGAGCACATCTTTGGTCAGCTACAGAGTGACGACGTAGCTTACCGTTCATGTCTTTCTCAACGTCGAGAGACAGCGTGCTCTCCGCGTCTACATCGGCGACAACGACAATCTTGAGTTCCTGACCGCTCTCAACAACACCCTTGAACGGCGTCGGCCAGAACCACGGTTGGCAGATGGGCTTGCCCTCTGACGGCGTGCGGAACGAGAACGAGGCTGGCACACGCCCGTTGTTCTTCAAGGTAAGTTCTCGCCGCACGGGCTGCAGATACCTGAGAGTTAGCATACAACGACTGCGCACAACTCACTTAACCTCTCCGAACTCCAGGTCACCTTCAACAACGTCCAGGCTCGGGCGGTACAACTCGTCGAGGCGGTCGAGCTCGCATTGCGCCATGACGAGCTGTTCGCTGCGCTTTGACTCATCGAGCACGTGAGCATCGAGCGAGTACACTCCTGCGAGTGGCAGGTGGTCGCTCCATAGCAGATCGTCCGGTTTGTAGCTCTTCGGCACGACAGTCGTGTCCCGTGTCTTGTACAGAATGCGGTCGGTGTACGCCGGCGCTCGCTTCGGGTCCAGCGTCACGGAGCCGTGCACGTACTTGAACGTGGGCCGGAAGTTAATGTCCGCCTCCTTGAAGCCGATGAATGACTTGGAGTCCTCAATGTCGGAGATCAGCTGGTCCGCAGTCAGAACCGTCTTGTAGTCCTTCGCCTCGACCAGTGCCCGAACCTCGGCGTCCTCGAGGTCGACACGGTAGTTGAGGTCACCAAACCAGAACTGACGTCAGCTTTTCCTACACGCGGAGCAGCTTACCAGAACATCGCTATCGTCAACCCGGAGCATGTCCCCTTCCTTCGCGGGCCAGTACGGCTCCAGAGCCTGACTCGCCCCGCCCGTCGTTGTCGGTGCGGGGAAGCCAAGGCCGTTCAGAAGGGAGTAGTAGTCGTACCGCCGGCGCTCGAGCTGGTTCGCAAAAGCGGCCAAATCTGTTGTCAGTTAGGGCTGGAGACACTACAACTCACGGCTGCAGACAAAGCACACGGTAGTGTCGTAAATCTTCATGCGGGCCGCGACTCCAGCCTTGTTACCGCCAAAGCCGAGAAGCCCGATACCGCGGGAAGACGTCTCGCAGCGCCGAATTTCGGTGCGGATCTCGCTCCGCGCGAATACGAACAGAGCGACGCCGACGTACTGCACAAGCTCGACCTTCTCGTACAGGTCACGGTTGTCGCCGAATCCGTTGAAGATTGCCTCCTCCCACGCGGCAGCACGGTCGCCGCCTTGCGAAACCAGCATGGACGAGCTCCGCAGATCTGCTTCCTGCAGTCCAACGACGATGATGTCGTCTTGCCCGTGGCCGACCAGCGGACCAAGCTCTTTCGTGCCGGACGGCGGGACGCGGTCGTTCACGTTGTACGTCGCGATGCGGATAGAGACTGGCTTCGTCGTCGTCCACTTGTCTCGCCGGCTGTAGAGCCGTTTCCGGAGGAAGCCTGTGCGGTCGAAGCCCTCAACGTACGGATTCGGATATTGCGATGCCGCATCATCCTCATCATCTTCAGGTGTGTAAGGTCGTCATGGTGGTGAATAATGCGCTGTGAGATGGAGGGAAGGAGGGAAGGTGTAGTGGCAAGGAAGGAAAGAGGGAAGACAGGGTGTGATTCCAGCGGAGGAAAGAAGGGGGTCTGGATGAAAGCCGAGTCGGAATCAGGCGGCGTTGATGACGTCGGTGGTGTTGATGTCGAGGCCGTCTCCGTGTTTGTCGTCGATGGATGGAAGATGGTCAGCAACGACGGAGGAAGAGGAAAGTGATGATGAGAGTGAGAGTGATGCGAAAGGACAAGAGCCGGACCGGAGTGCGGAGTGGATGGCCAGCAGTGTGAGTGG